CATCACTTAAATTTAGTCTTGGTCAACCTATTCTCTCCATAATTGTAGAGAAATGAAAGTTTACCACATAAAAGCAATCACTTTATAATTATTAAAAGAAATACCTCCCCAGAATTCACCCAAAAAGCTGAACTGTCTCATTCAATTACGTTTTAAGTAGAGTTCCTGGGCAGTGTTTCTAAACCACAGCCTGGAAAGCAAGTTCCATTGCTCTCTTTTCCTCCCTCAGAGTCTCTCTGATACATTTTCTTCTCAAAAGAGACTGGGGCCCAGGTAGATGAAGGGAATTGTTTAGAATCTCACAGCTACTTGTTTGAAGAACCAGGAGTTCTCCACACACTTCTGTATTTAATCAGTAAAGCAGATGGATTGAAGCAAAGAATGTGTCTCATCTCACGTTAGTGTACCCATGGGAGCTACCGACCCGCTGCTGTCGAGTAGATTCCAACTCATGGCAACCCCATGTGTCACAGGGTAGAACTACTCCATAGGGTTTTCTTGGCTGTAATCTTTAAGGAAGCAGATTGCCAGCCCTTTCTTCCAAGCCACCGTTTAGTTTCGAACCACAAACCTTTAGGTTAGTAGTCGAGGGCAAACCATTAATGCCACCCAGGGGGACCTATTTCCTTGCACCTAGGAAATCCTAAATAAATATCTTTTAAAATGAATAACATGTTCCTTTTTTTTCACGTTTACGATGACTTCCGTGCTTCATAACAACAACAAGAAATCCAAAATATAATCTAACTAATAAATAATAATAGCTAATGTGACTCCACAGAGCCCTGGTGGCGCAGTGGTTAAGAGCTATGGCTGCTAACCAAAAGGTCAGCAGTTCAGTCCACCAGCCGCTCCTTAGAAACCCTACGGGGCAGTTCTACTCTATCCTGTAGGGTCGCTATGAGTCAGAATCGACTGGACAGCCACAGGTTAGTTGTTTTTTTTTTTTTTTAATGTGGCTCCATGGGAGAAAGACCTGGTGATCTGTTCCCATAAAGATTACAACCTAGAAAACCCTGTGGGGCAGTTCTACTCTGTCTCATGAGTTCATTATAAGTAGAAAATCGTCTCAGTGGTACCCAGCAACAGCAACGATACTTGTTGGTCAATGAAAACAGGGGAAATCCTTGAAGACATGAATTGACACAATAGCCACAACCAGGGACAGATTATCCAATAGGCAAGGTAAGCACAGTGCTCACCTCGCTTACCAGATCATCTGTAGTGAACAATTTTAGATTTTTTCAAGCAGAATCCAAGATTCTGCTTCTAGGTATGACTGGCATCTGTGTCTCTCCCAAACCCACAGCACCTTCCTACAGAATCAAAGCCTCTTTTCAAATCTACAGTCCCTGACAGGGACGAGTGACCCAGTGAGCAAGGTAAGCACAGGCTTACTTGTGCTTCTTAATCTGTAGTGAACAATTTCACGTTTTTGTGGTGAAAAACGTGAAATTGTTCACTACAGATTAAGAAGTAAGCCATCCCTGGCCACAACAATGGACTCAAACATGCCAATGATCATAAAGATGACAGAAGACCAAGCCAGGTTTTGTTCTGTCGTACACGAGGTTGCCGTGAGTTGGAGATGACCGGATGACAGCTAACAACAACACTTGTTGATTGTCCGTTTGTGCCACGCTTTGGGCTACGTGTTTTAGGTACATCATGTGTAATCCTTACAATAGCCCTGTGATGCTGGAGATATTGTTCCCATTCTATAGGCAAAGCAGCTAGGCTTTGGTCGTCCAGTAAGATTCTGCCTAACTTCATGAATCAGTCATGAAGGCCACCTGCGTTTACTTCAAAATCAGACAGGAAAAGGCAAAAATCAGTAGCTGTATTCAGTCATTCCTGCCTTCTAGTTTATTTACTCAGAGAGAAGCTGCCTGTATTTCTCATCTGCCACACTCAGCTTTCTACATGAAACCTAACAAACAGTATCTCTCTCTAGAAACACCTTCTGAGGTTTTCTCTCAGGATAGAAAAGGTGGGAGGAGGGCTGTTGTCAAAGTAAAACATTTCGAGAGAGGAAAATGGAGCTAGTTCATTTACATTAGCTAATTAGGAAAAAAATAATAATAAATTTCTGTTATTTTCTTATGTCTTTTTTTTTTTTTCCTCTCTATACTTTAGAGTTTGTAATGTTAAAAGGAGAAATTATTTGTTTAGTGTGTGGCTGAAAATGAAAGACTTAAAGGAATATCTGTCAACAGATCCAAGTCCTGAAATTTAGCCTCAAAAATCAGATGAATCCTGTGCAGGCACCTCAGAGGATGAGGTTGAGAAAGGAAACGCTGAGGCCACAGTGTGGGGGAGAAGGTACCTCTGTCCAGATCAGCTCAGGGAAAGCTGCTCCTCCTGCTTCTGGCACCATGCATGTGTAGTTCACATGCATTAGAGTATTTCTTTCTCATAAACTCCCTCTGAGAAATATTTCCTGAGAGAAAGTGGCAATGTCTAAATATCTTGTCTTTTTAAAATTGCTCCCAATTTTTGCAGTTGAGTTTGAAACCTTTTAAAACAGCTTTTTGGTAAAGAGAAAGATTGAAGTGCATTACTTAAATTGAGTATAAACGCAGTTTTTTGGGTATTTTTTCCTTTTGCTAGAAATTTTGACAACATTTACTCATAGTAATATGTTGTGGTATTTTTTTTCTTTTTCTAAAGAGGTCAGATTACAGCTAAAGCAATAATAGCTGCAGTTTCCAAATTTATTTCTAAAAGTATGAGATGAATTAATATACTTTTGGTTTTTTTCAAATGTTTTAAGGATAGAACAGATTTGTAGATGGACAGTCACTAAATAAAGGAGTGATATTTCAGCGGTCACGTAAGGGCTGGCTTCCAGTTCTTCCAGTCATCTCCTTTGTCTTGCTTCATCAAAGGTCTGAATATAGCCAGTTCCCAGCTTTGAAATATAATTGCATTGGTTTGGTTCATTACGTTCAACGTGACCTTATAGATCATTTTATTGCATTAAGTTGCTGTATTTGTGCCCGTCATAGTGATACTTGTCCTCATGGGATTTGATCTGTTGGTTTTGATTTGAAAGGGTGGTCATCCAGCTGAAACTATTAAATAATGAGTTCGAGTTTCTCTCCTGACTCCTTAACTAAACACATTGCTGGCATCCTCTTGGACACTGCAATATGAGATTCCAAAGTAACTGTGGTCCTTTGCAGCGAGACATCAACTTGACATCTATTTCATGGTTGAAAACAGAGCCTTTGGGCTAATTCTAGTGATTTCTTCCATCTACATCATTGCCACTTAAGTAATGTTGGCTCTATTCAGGTGCTAGTCTTTGCTAAGGATGTCAGATATGACCTAAGTTTTAGGGAACATACAGAGGTGCTCAACCCTGGCCAGACTACAGCAATATTTCCTTAAAGTATCGTCTTTCCATTTTGTTGTTTTCCTTGAATTACAGCGTATGGTAGAAATGTAAAACACAGAAGAATACTTTGTGCATTTAGGGAACATGCAAAATATTTTTTGAAAAATCCTGTGAAGTAACAGAATTTTCATTTTACTGTACACCACTTTTGTTTGTTTGCTTTTGATAAAGTAGGTTAGGATTGTGTGTTCTCACAGTTGGTACAAAGGCACAGGAGTGAAACCTTGTGAATCCAATTTCTGGCTTATTGGAAAACTATAGATTAAAGCATTTTTTTGTTTGTTTGTTTCCTTTTTCTTGTCTAGGAAACTGTATAGAGGATAAAACCCTTTCCTTTTTACAGGGCCCTGTATCTGGTTAGAGGGAACCTGGAGTTGTCTAAAGAGCAGATCCTATAACTGTGAAACAGAAAATGACGATATTATTCACAGACTGCAACTCATGTTTATATTCCGCATAAAAACAAATAGTTATCTAGTAATTCTATTCACTAGACCAAAAAAAATTCTAGTGTCTAGTATAATAATGCCTTATTGCTTTTGTTTAAATCCAAAGATTGTGACTTTGGAGCCTTTCTTTTTCAAGTAGAGGCATGTTGCCTAATATAAAATAGTGCTAGGAGATTTCTTTGCCTAGAGAAAGGCATTTGATTTGCTTTCAGTTAAGAATTACGCCCATTTTTCTTTTAATCTGACATAGAAAGGGTAAATGTATTCTGATCTATGGCCTTACTCAAAAGTATGGTGCTGTGTTTGTCATTTTTCATTAGGTTTCTTAATGCCCACTGGACATACTCAGTACATTTGAGGCTTACTGCAGACTTGAAATTATTCTTTGTTGCGTGTTAAACTAATTGGGTTGAATACCTTTTATGGGCTTTTGCTCAACTCCATGTAGAAATTGTGGATTATTCATCTCAAATGATTGAATTTTAAATTATTTAAACTTTGCACTGCTAGTGTTTGACCTTCTGCAACTGCTTTTAAAGAACAGAAATCTCTTTTTCCCCTAGACATTACAGATTTAATTTGTTTGGGATACAAATACTATTTATCTAGTATATAAAAAAAAAGACATATGCTTGTATTGTTTATTATGCTTTGATCGATTTACCAATTATTTCTACTTTTCTTTAAACAAGCATATTTGGAAATCATGATAGCTCAAGATGAAATAGTTTGTGCCTTTTAAATCTTGATGGATGAACACTAACAATCCCCCTGTGTAGTTTAAATGCCTAAGTGTAATCTTCCCAGTGCAACGCATAACATCTATCCCAGGACAAATTTGCGTTTTCTTTTCAAGTACTCTGAAGTCTCAAATACCTCTCTCCTGATTTTACTCAGCCGCAATCTGCAACTTATTTTTCTCCAGGAAAATTGAATCTCTTCCTGCACTGTATTCCTACCAGTTAGAAAAATGCTGTTTATATTGGCATCAGAGCAGTAATTTACATATATTGGAATAACAAGATGCAAGCCAGAAACAGATCCACAGAAAATGAAATGCAGAAAGGTTGTTTCCTTCAACAGCTGCTCAAAGTAAAGCCGATGGAGAGTTGATGAGCCTCGGCCCTGACTATGTCACTTGTTTCTTCTAGGTGAAGTGTGACCAGTATTGGCCCAGCCGAGGCACAGAAACCCACGGGCTGGTCCAAGTGACGCTGCTTGATACCGTGGAGCTGGCCACGTACTGCGTGCGAACATTTGCACTTTACAAGGTTTGCTTTTCCTTGGTTTCCTCTCCCTGTCTCCTCTCCGTTAGTTAAAGAAAGCTGCTTTCGAGAAATCAAATCTCTTACGGCTTTTCTTAAGTCTTGATCCCACTGGCAACAGTGAAGAATGAAATAATTCTTCCATTATCTCTCAGCAGTTTTTCTCCTGGTCTGGCAATTTATCAGTAGAGATGGAACTCTTGCTCTTGAACGAAAGTTTCGGCAAATAAAGAATAGATGAAGAAGAACTAGCTCTTCCTATAAAATAGAACAGGGGCGCTCCTGATAGTTAAGCCTGAAAAAATAGAAGACTTCTCACATAAGAATTTTATCTTCTGGAATAAATATTTGTCATTACCAAATATGTCTAGGTTTTTATCTCAAAGAGTGTATCTTCCCAAAGGATTGGGGGAGAGGGGGAGGAATTAAGATAGCACATTTCAGTGGTACCCCTTCCACATGTTATTCTTTTTTGTTTTTTTTAATAATATTTCATTGTATTTTCAGTGAAAGTTTACACAGCAAATTATAGGTTTCCATCTGACAATTTCTGTACAGAGTGTTCAGTGACATTAGCTACATTTTTCACAAGGTGTCAACAGTCTTTTTCATTGTGTCTGGTGGTTTCATTTCCAATGTTCTAGTTTCCCGATCCCCTTCTCTTCTTTGCTTTAGAATAATTGTTGACCTTTTGGTCTCACATAGATGGTTTTTTTTATGGAGCACCGTATCATGAGTAATAGCCTTTATTTTGTGTGCCATTCTGTTTTTCCACTAAAAGGTGACCTCAGGGATAGTTTTGGTTCAAGGTTTAAAGAGTATCTCAGGGCGATAGTCTCAGGGAGTCCTCTAGTTTCAACTGGTCCAGTAAGTGTGGGCTTTTTCAGTGTATGAGTTCTGTTCCACATTTTTATCCCATTTTGTCAGGGTCCATCTGTCGTGGCCCTGATCAGAATGCTCAGTAGTGGTAGCTGGGCACCTTCTAGTTCTTCTGATCCATACATTATTCTTCACTGGAAACTGAGGCTAGGAAACTAGAATTTCAGCCTGTATTCTTACTTCCCAGAATGGTTCAAGCGAGAAGAGAGAAGTCAGACAATTCCAGTTCACCGCCTGGCCTGATCACGGTGTTCCAGAACACCCAACACCTTTCCTAGCTTTCTTACGGAGAGTCAAAACCTGTAACCCCCCGGATGCGGGTCCAATGGTTGTGCACTGCAGGTAAGGAACACTGAGAGCATTTGTCTTACTTGCAGCCAAAAGCTTTGCTGGGAGAAAGCTAAGTAGTTCCTCACTGGATGTTTCTTTGCAACTTCTTGTTACTCTGGGACAGTAAATGCCTTTATAAATAATACAGATAATATTTTTTTGTCAAATGAGACCTATACTGATGCCAGTAGGAAGTATTGCTGTAGATACATATTCAGAGTCCCCTGGAGACAATAGGCAACTTTGGGAGCAAAAATAAATAAATAGATAAACATATAATTAATTAATTGTATACATAGCCATAAAATATATAAGACAGAAGAGAATTGATAATTAACCTTCTAATTAAGGTCAAGCTTCACCTCCTATTTGGGGGAGTATTCTTGAAACTATATGTGTACGAATTGTTTGACAAGTCCTTGTAGGCAGGGCTGAAATAACCTTTTTACTGTTTATAGGAAAAAATTTGCTCAACAAAATAATATCGTAAACACGTAAACTTTCAAAGAGAATGTCTTACTGCTTAAGGATGTGTTTTGCGCATTGGTTCTATCAAGCCACTAACAGCAAATATACTAATTGGTTTTTTTAAATTATTTAATAAAATATATACAAAGGTCTCTGATTTGTAAAAGGTTATTTTATGTATTTGGAGATGATGACCTGTATTTCCCTTGAAATGTTGTATAATTTATATTTTTTTAAACTGAATTCTAACTAGCATTCTTTACTGTTACCATCAGATTCTACTCTGTATAAGTACTCATACATTTTTAATATTAAACTGATTTCTTCCAGTTGCCCGAGTTACTCTCAAGTATCCTTACTAAAGGACTACTCAGGATAGCCAGTCAGATTTTATTACTGAGAAGTAATTGTATAGTTCTTGTAAATTCACAATAGTTTCTTATAACCCAAGTAATTCCAATATGAGAGAATATGGCTTCTTGCACTGATAAGTAAAGCTGGAATATGGAAGTATATGAAAAGGGAAAGGAAACCGCTTCTATCATAACTTAACAGCATAACTCTCTTTCATACCCTATATTACACTCCAGCATAATACCAGAGACCCTAGGAATAGTTGCAAAGGATAAGAAGGAATGAGCCATCACCATTTTTGCAAAAAGAGGAAGACAATGGATGTATTAAAATAGAAGCAATAAAATTCACTAAACAATGGTCTGGAAAATTCCAAACAAGATAATGTTTTATTTCGCTTTTCCAGGATTTTTTTTTTTTTCAAGAAAACCCAATAAACATGTTATTCTGTATTTATATAGTGTTAAATATTTCAAAAATTCCAAAGCCCTGTCCCATGCTTTATTCTGATTAAGTTTTATACCAACACCTTATAGAGATAATAGAAAACGAGAAGCTATAGGATTTAGTTCATGTAAAAAAACAAAAAACAGTTGTCATCGAGTTAATTCTGACTCATAGCAACCCCATGTGTGCAGAGTAAAACTGCTCCATAGGGTTTTCATGGCTGTGAACTTTCAGAGGCAGATTGCCAGGCCTTTCTTCCAAGGCACCTCTGGGTGAGTTTGAAATGCCAGCTTTTCCATTAGTAGCCCAGCCCTACTGGTTCATGTACTAGTAGTTAAAATGGGGGTAAAACAGTGGGCCTGCCTCTGTAACTGGGACGGGGCCTTCGAGGACCAGTTACTAGGTTGCAGTTTTCTGCATGATTTTGAGTCACTAGAAGTTATTGTTATTAATTTGAGCCAATGCTTTTTGCATCAATGAAAGCAGAGTCTTGGCCCTGCCTGTTGGTTTCAAATCAGGTACTAGACATTGGTCTATAGACCTGTACTGTGTACACTACTTTTCAGGCCTCAAAGAGCCACTGTGACTGGTTAAAAGGATGCCTTGCTTGATAGGAGCGGAATCTCACTATAAAGATCACACGTGAAATGTTTTCAGAAGGAGCTTGGCGGTAAGATAAGGACACCGGAAGTTTGGGTTTAATGAAGAAATGCTGCCACAATATGCCAAATGCCAAAAATGCAGTTCACTCCCTGTTGATCATAAGCAAAGTGTGAGGCTTTCTGCTAGGTCCTTTCAGGGATCCAGAGAAATTTGCAAACAAATAGGAGAGAGAAGATTGTTGCTGCTAGCTGCCGTTCATTCATCCCCTGGCTTACGGTGACCCCACATACAATGCAAGGAAACACAGCCCGGTCCTGCGCCACCCCCACAATCAATGCTGATAAAACTATTGTGATCCATAGTGTTTTCATTGGCTGATTTTTGGGAAGTAGATTGCCAGGCCTTTCTTCCTAATCTGTCTTAGTCTGGAAGTTCCTCTGAAGCCTGGTCAGCATCATAGAAACATACAAGCCTCCGCTGACAGATGGGTGGTGGCTGCGCTTAGCTGTAATGCCCAATTTTGAGAAAACACACACACGTGAAGCCACCTGGGCTCACCTCTGAGAGACTACTGGACTACTCGGGAGAAATAAGAAAACCAAGATGAATGTGCAGAGCTAATAGATGCTGACATTTGTAAGTGCTGTACCTGAGGCTCTGGAGAAGCTGTAAGGAGACTGTGTATTGAAACAAACAACAGAAGAGTAGGTAAATTGGTGGAAGAGATTTGTTATCAATTTGGAAACAGCGAGAGAAAGATGCAGCACAAACTAAGCTCTGTGTAATAGACTGTGATCACCCGTAGATAATATCACGTGTCTGCTAAGAAATCTTCGCCTTTTTAGGAGCGGCCATGTCAACATGGGGAACATGTCAACATCGGGAATCCTTGGCTTGGAGACAAGTATAAAACTTGAGAGCATAACCTTTCCGCCAGAGCAGCAGATTAAAGTCATTCCAGATGACAGTTACTCTTGTGGTATCACAGCAATGCTAGTCTAGAAACCATCCCTAAGCAGGAAGAACTATGCAAAAAGCCACAATAGCCAAGTCACAAAGGGACACTGATCACACTTATCAAGATCATGTTGCAAAGAGTCACAAAATATTCTGGAAGGTAAATAATATACTTCATGTTGTGATTTCTCTTATGATGTACTGGGAGTTTTTCTCTATAAAGAAGAAGTAGGGACAAACTAGGGGGCCGTGGTGGTTCAGTGGTAGAATTATCACCTTCCATGCAGGAGACCTGGGTTCGATTCTGGGCCAATGCACCTCATACGTAGCCACCACCTGTCAGCAGAGGCTTGTAAGTTGCTGTGATTCTGAACAGGTATCAGGGGAGCTTCCAGACTAAGATGGACTAGGAAGAAAGGCCTGACGATCGACTTCCAAAATAATCAGCCCATGAAAATTGTATGGATCACAATGATCTGATCCCATTGTGCGTGGAGTCGCCATGAGTTGGGGGCTGACTTGTCCACAGCCAACAACAACAAGGGACAAACTCCAAGTAAATCCAAGCCTTCTGCCAAGCAGATGCTGTCAGAGTGGAGGCTGTTTTAAGAGAGGTCTGGTAGAGGCAAAAAAAAGGGGAGAAGGGGGTAGAGAAAGAGAAAATACACGTTCCTCCAGTGGTTCTATCTGGTAATAAATGTACCAGGACTAAAAAGAGCTCTTATGAATAAGAGAAATTCTAACAATCAATAATAAGAAGGAGTTATGGAGATAGCCTAATGCAACAAGCATAGACAAACCCTTGGATGGTCAAGGAGAAGCACAGGGACACCCACATCCCTAAAAGAGAGAATGTCTGGTTCAGCAGTCATAGAAAGAAAGAACAACTCAACTTGACTTAATATCAACATTAGGAGCACACACTCTGGAAACAGACTGCTTGGGTAAAGCTCTGACTCCTTCACTTATTGACTATTATATTCCTTTGGGCAAGATATTTATTCTCCTTTGGCCTCTGGTTCTTGACCTGAAAAATGGGATAGCACTATTTATTCATAAGAATAGCAATGTTATGGAGATTAATTGAAATGATACACAAAGTGCTTGGCACAGAGTATGTATATAATTTTAAAATATTAGCATTTTCATTATTGAGTGAGTTTTAATAGCTGTCTTTATTTTTACAACTTTAGAAAAATTCAGCATGAACTCAGATGTCATCTATATGACATGCGCTATCCATTCTGTTAAATAACCAGATGTTCATAGATATAAAATTATTTAGTTGACTAGATTTTTTAAATGTAAATATTTTCCATCATGGTAGTTCATTAGATTTTTTCTTAGTGACAGAGACATTTTAATACTCTAAGTTGAAATCATTTATAATACTAAGTCTGTTGTCAAAAAGATCTGAGAAACCCTTGAACTCTTAAAGCTATGCTGTAAAGGACACATAGAAATTCATGCTGTGATTCTTGATGTCTTCAAGAAACAGTCCAAGCTTCTCAGCATGTTGATCTCCCTTGTCACACTTCATTGTTCACTCTTTCAGGCCACCTACCACTGTACTTTCACCTCTGGGTCTCAGCAAACGGTGTCTATCTTGTCTAGAATTTCACCCATTCCTCTTCTCTACCTGATGATGTTCAACACTGTTTCAACATCCAACTCATAAGGCACTTCCTCTTTGCATTCCAGAGGTTGTAAACTGGCCTCAGATGGTTTTGTTGATGTATATGTGATTTTTTTTTTTAAATTTGAACTTGAATGTTTTTCAGCAGGAAGGCACCGTGCAGTTTTCTAGGCCCTCCCCACTCCCTACAATTTTACACATAATTCATCCATTTATTCCACTTGCTTCACTTTGTAGACATTTGAGTTATAGCCCTGTAGAAGCCATTAAGCTCATTCTTGATTCCTCTTCCCACAGGATGAATTCAACACTCTATTCTCTGAGCTCTCATAAAATAGGTTCACACTTAATATGTTTAGCTGTATGCGTGCAGAGCATATATGCCTTGGGGTCTCAGAGGGTACTGTGGCTTATGAACATTTGTATCCCAGCTCCTATACCATAACCCAAAGCCAGCCACTTGCTCTCAGATCAGATCTGACTCATGATGGCTACATGTGTTGCAGAAAAGAACTGCTCCATAGGGTTTTCAGAATGTGACCTTCTG